GTATTGAGTTACTTCATCACTATACTCATGTCTATCTCATCGTCTAAGTCAATATTAACAAAGAAGTCTTCAAGAGAAAATAAACGAAGTGTAACGATCATTCATTATTACCTATGTACCTACTGATGAAAAAGACGCTATGATGGACGACTTGAAAAAAAACATCACCGGAAGCAACAGACTGTAAAAAGAATAGGTAGAAGAAAAAACGTGTAGAAAAACAATCAATGTATGAAAGGAAGTGAAACGAAATAAAAACGTGTACAAAAAAATCAGTGTATGAAAGGAAGTGAAGCGAAACAAGAACGCGTAGAAAAAAATCAGTATACGCAATGAAGCGCCACAAAAAATGTTGGAAAAAATATTCTGTTCTCATATTTTTCAGTCTGCCGTCAATAACATTTTATATTGATACAAAGAAGGAAAAAGACCTTTTGTAACCACAAGTAGCGCTCGTCAACAGACTCGCTCAGCTCTTTCTCGTAGAAGAAGTGCTTTTCGATGTTATATTTTTAATACAATATTGCGTGTATAAATTTATTTTCAAGATAGATAAGATATTTAAAATAGAGAAAAAAGAGTAATTTGTTATTCTCAACTATTAAAGATATAACCTTATTTTCTTAAAGTCGCTCAAGATAAAAACTATTGAGTTAAAGATAATAAGTTTTTTTACTTAAATTTATTTGACTAGTTGCAGTCAAGTTTAATACTTGACTTCATCAGAAAATTTTACAAAAAACTTACTAGATTGAAAATAACAACAACATAAAAATAGAACTACAGGACATGGTACAAAAAATATTACATGAAAAATAATAAAAACCATTATGCACCGATTTTTCACCATAGTCAGGGTGTGGGTGTCGCTGTGCGTGAGTGTTTGAAGGTGTTGATGTGGGTGTCCTTTCTCTATATTTCCTTCACACTCACATCCATACCTACACCCACTCACCCATCTACGCCCACAACCACACCCTTAAGATGCTTCTGTACGATCAAATCATTAATACTTAATTGAACCAATTTCCGTAAAAGTTATAGACTTTCTTATATTATTATTTCGTGTTTAAAAAAAAACTGAAATTCTGTCTTTTTCAAGATTACTTTCAAGCGAACAACTACAGAAATGTGTCGTTGCTTGATGGACCTTCCATTAATTCCATTTCAGTGTTTTTCTACAAAATTTCAATAGTAAATATTTAAAATAAAGAAATCAGAAACATACTTTGTCGAGACGACTCGGTTCTTCCTGTCGTTTTTGCCGACAAAAACGAATTATCAATTTAGGATCGACTTCCTGTGACTGGTGGAAACACGTGAAAGAGTTGACAATGAGACCAACGACTATTACAGTGAAGACGGCGACTGGCATATACCACAAATAGCTCACAGAGTATAATTCCAATAGTGGATTAAATCTAAGGATAGCGCTCTTTTTTATATGAAAAAAAAAAGCTTATTGTACTTACTCGTTCGCATAACTGATGGTAGTCATACTGGCTAATGGTAGTGTAGTGGTATTAAATTTTGAGCAGTTAGTTACTGACAATGGTAATCGTCCACTCTGTCCTCGATTTTTTGTCATCTGGGCACCTAAAAAGATCCATAACTGTAATCCCAAACCGCTTAAAAGTCCAACTAAGGCGCTCCGTCGTTGTACTCGTGGAAAGAAGAAACCAAGAAAGAACACACCCATAATAGGACCAGCAAAGACTCCTCCCAACGACAATGCAGCATTGAGTACTGAACCCAAGTAGCTTACTGCGAAGGAAAGCAGTATTACAACAGCACCAAGTATGGCTGAATAAATTTTCGATACTCTCCCTAGCTGTTCATCGTTCAATCGTCGTCGCATCAATCCTTGATATACATCTTCGATGAACACTGCAGCGAGACTATTCAGTCCAGATGAAATCGTCGATAATGAAGCTGAGAAGATGCAGGCAAGGAAAATACCACGTAAGCCTACCGTATTGCTCAATACTTCCATAACGAAGTATGGAAATAATTGATCTGAACTGCTTACAAATCCAGCCGTGTATGGATCACAATTGGCATAGAATGCATATATAACGAGACCCGTTAGACTCAAGAGAAGAATAAAAATAATGATACCGATACCATTAATGAGAATTACTTGTCGAGCAGCCCGTACTGAACGAACACAGAGATATCGTTGCACTAGTGCTTGGTTGAAGCTGTATTCAGCTAAAATATTAAATGAACAGCCAATGATTAGCGTCCAGACTGTATGGCGAGTCCGTGGATCGAAGTTTACACTACTCAATCAAAAAAGCATAATTATATTGGCATGAATCGAGTGAACTTACTTATCGAATTCAATACGACCATCACGAGAAGCAATTAAGAATGTTTGTTTCAAACCGCCCAGTTGTATTAGACCTGTCAAAAGATTTCAATTTAATCAGAAATATATTTTTGTTTTACATACCTTGTATAGTAGCAGGAAGAAGACCAACCAGTATAAAAGTGAATTGCAAAACATCTGTCCAAATGATAGCTTTTATACCACCCTACACAATATTAGTATTCATAGAATTCTTTAACATAAGAAATAATTAATACACTTACTATCGAAGAGTAAAAGGTACAAATAACACCAATCGAGATAACTGATAACCAAATATTTAGTCCAGTAGCTAGAAGAAGTCAAATTGACTTAAGGAAAAATGTGCTTGTTCACTCAATTTACTTTGACTAAGTGCTAAAGCCGGCGCATACAGCACAATGGCCATGTAGATTACCTATGATAATAAATGCATCCTACTTAACACAACGAATATACACTTACCATATATATTGTGAATAAGAAGGAGACACACAAGCGAACTGTTCTATCGAAGCGTTTCTCTAAATACTTAAGCATTCAATATGTTTACCATTAATCATTTTTGAATAACTATGTCATACTTCAAAGATACTTGTATAGTTTAATTCACGAAATTTAGGCATAAATACTAGAGCTGATAGTGTTAATCCAATTATCCATGCTATAACTATAAATATATATTCAATATCACTAATACGAACGGCAATCTTTCTTTAGTACTCACTTTGATACAAAAACATTGTTCCATGCATGTAGATCTCACTAGGCATACCCAGCACAGAAATGGCGGATACGAACGAAACAGTGAGACTCAATGCTGTCGATATGACACCCATCTCGCCATTAGCTAAAGAAAACAAAGGAACAAAGATACATAAATATTGAACGGCTTTGCTACTTACCCAAGAGATATTCTCGAGCTGAACTTTTTTTCGATTTCATAAAGCCGAATATAATACCGATAAGAGTCGATAACAGTAGTAATAGAATCAATAAAACATAGTCAACAACACTTAACGTCGTAAACGCCATTTCTATTCACAAATGATTTCTCTACTGAGAATTCAAAAAATGAGTAAAAAAGACGATTTACTACCTTTTTAAATAGGTTTAATTAGAAGTTTGGTTTCGTGAATGATGTTACACCATTCTTGTGAAATGAAAATAAATTTAATTCAGTTTCTTATACATTGCATCAGTAGCAGAAAGAAATCGAAAGTAAGTTTTATTATTAATCACCTTGGCGTCATGATTTTACACATTCAACAAATGCTCTGTAAACAAATGCCGAACGCAAAAGACTGTAATACATTAGTCACGAAAACAAAGTGAGTATGGATGTGGGTGGGTACACAAATAGATTTTTCGCATTCACACCCACACCCTCAATTCACTATTCGTTTTCTTTTTCATTCTCGTTATGATTGCTTTTCGAAACGCCGTACAGATGTAAAAATAATTGAAGTGAGTAAATATGAAATGAATTTTGTTAGAATTTGGGTGGGTGTGAGTGTGCGTGTGGGTCTGATATCTGTAATACAAACCCACACCCACACTCTCCTTGTAAAAAAGGTAGACCTTGGACTATGATGTAGATGGAATGAAAAAAATAATATTAAGATAAGAGTATAACAATACCTTTGATGTTGGAGATAATATTATTTATCTTCTGCTACTGACGTGAGAGTAATAGACAAACAGAAAGTAGCTTCGAACAATAGTGTGTGTTTTTTTTTGCGCTTGAGTTTCATCTGAAACATAATATGCATACCAATCAAGTTTACAGAGAGCGTGTTACTGCAAATAATGCACCACACAAATGGTGGCACCACCGTTGGTTCAAAATAATCGGCATTTTTGTTATTGTTTTAATAGTTTTTGCTGTTATACTTGCTCTATTGTTAAACTTCGTCGTTTTTGCACCGGAGAAATTAGAAACTAGTAGCACCACCGCAACATCATTATCGCCACAAACAACAGCTACGACCACAACTCAGCAGCCAGGTAAGCTTCAGAATAACGTTTTCTGGTCTCCTTAAATAGTACTTTTAAATCAGATGTAAGTAGCAGCTTTCCATCCAACAGTTTTGTATATTTAACTAAAATTTTCAAAAGAACAGTAATCTTATCATGAGTGATTCAGTCGTTAACTTAAGAAGAAACGGAGATGCAATAATCTCCACATGCGCTCGTTTTCATCACGATTAAAGTTCACATGGTTTTGTCGACATCTATGCAACGAAATCTACCTTTTCACTTCGTTTGATATCACTATATATTCTACTTTTAAATAAAAAGAGAACATAAAAGGAGCATACGCATATCTATTGCGCACGGCATTTTTGCGCGGGGAAATACCAGTCAATTGTCGTTCTTTCTCTTTCGTGTGTAAATATAAGTAGCTGTATTTGCATATTATATATTTGTTAGTCTGTTACCGCTGATTCATTCTTCTGCTCCCTGGATAAGTCAGAGTCCAGGTTTCAGGCACGATTGGATGCAGTCTATATTCGCCGGTCATAATAAATCATTGCATTCCTTAGTCTGAAACGGTGTTGTAAACGCGACTGTATCTGGACACCATTTCCAATTGCAAAAATTCGTAAGAAACGAACCGGAAAAAAAGAAAAGCCGCTTTTTGATCTCACTATGGAAATTCGACCGCTTTTCCTTTACTTAAGAAGTTTCATTAATTGTTATAAACATTGTAACGACTAGCATTATATATAAACTTATTTCATATGTCATCCTCGCATACGATACTTTATTAAAAAAGTGAAACTTACTTTTGTACCGTATCAAGAATGATTTTTTACAACAACTTTGAGACTTTTTACATTTCCCAAAAAGTTCCAAAAAAAACCTGTATCAAAAGTAAGAAACGATGAGAATGAATACAATCCTATGTTTCTGTCTAGGATGGTCTGTTACCGGTAATATGAATAATGCACGATATTTGCACACAGCATCTGTATTATCAAATGGAAAAGTATTAGTTACTGGTGGATTAGGCAATAGCAGTATGTTAAATAGTGCTGAGCTGTATGATCCATCAACAGGTATTTGGACAACTACTAGCAATATGAGTGTTGCACGATTTCATCACACAGCATCTGTATTGTCAAATGAAAAAGTATTAGTTACTGGTGGATACGATAATGGTTATTTAAATAATACTGAATTATATGATCCATCAGCAGGTACTTGGACAACTACTGGTAACATGAATAATGCACGATCTTTTCACACAGCATCTTTATTATCCGATGGACTAGTGTTAGTTACCGGTGGAGAGTCTCGTGGTGCTTATTTAAATAGTGCTGAATTGTATAATCCAATAACAGGTATTTGGACAACTACTAGTAGCATGACTAGTATACGACATAAGCACACATCATCTGTATTTTCAAGTGGAAAAGTATTAGTCACTGGTGGAGGGACTCGTGGTGCTTATTTAAATAGTGCTGAATTGTATGATCCATCAGCAGGCATTTGGATAACTACTGGTAACATGACGAATAGACGAGAATATCACACGGCATCTGTATTATCAAATGGAATAGTATTAGTTACAGGTGGAAACAATGCTTTTCCTTATTTAAATACTGCTGAGCTGTATGATCCATCAACAGGTACTTGGACAACTACAAGTAACATGATAAATGCACGATCTTTTCACACGGTATCTGTATTATCAAATGGAAAAGTATTGGTTACTAATGGATGGAATGGCTATTTTTATTTAAATAGTGCTGAATTGTATGATCCATCAACAGATACTTGGGCAACTACTGGTAAGACGAATAATGCACGAGATTATCACACAGCATCTGTATTGTCAAATGGAAAAGTACTAGTTACTGGTGGATACAATGGTCATATTGCTTTAGATAGTGCAGAATTATATTAATTATTTTAAACAAACAAGTAATTCAAATTCCAACCAATACTTTCGTTAGAAGAATTATCATTTTACGACATCCGCGAAGTATTTCCTTCCATATTTCTACTGGATTATTACACTTTTAAATATTCGATCCGAAATAAAAAAGTATATTTTTGTTTTTTTGACTCTTGTTAATTAATTTATTATGATTAATACAACTTACAGTTGATACGATAACTTTAATTGTGCTTTCAAATTCTTCGTTAGTTTCACACAGTAATTTTTCATAATATTTAATTGTTTCGATAGTATTCATCGTATTTAGAATGTATGATCATTGGCGCACTTCGCTTACAAAAAGAGAGTGTGTGTGGGTATGGTTAACCCTAAAACACCAAAAAAAAAATGTCGAACGTTAAAAATGTCCAGGGTGTGGGTGTGAGTGTGGGTGTGGGTGAGGATGTAGGTGTGGGTGTATTCTCTATGTATGCCTCTCACACCCACACCTACACCTGCCAGAGATGGAACCGGCCCGGTTTTTTGACGACCGGTACCGGTCGAAAACGTTTAGACCGAACCGGACCGGACCGGATCGGCCGGTCTACCGGTTTCTTACCGGTAGACCGGTAAATACCGGTCTAAAGTTCGGACCGGTACCGGTTCTATCTCTGACACCCACATTCACACCCTTTCATCATATTTTCGGGAATCATTTTAAACCAAATAATTGTTCATATAAGTGTATATAATCACGACAAATACATGTGCTTGACCATATATATGAACATATTGTCTTTGTATACATATAATATTGGATCAGGCGAAGACTAGACCAATGAAGTATTACAATGACCAATGAAAATTCTTTATTTGATTTACTTGATATATAAATAATTTTTACTTTATATGAATTAATTAGAATAATTAATGTTGTTTATTTGTTGCCTTATGGTTGGTTGTTTATTTTGTTCAGTAAAAATTTTTTATATATATAATTAGTTGTTCTTATTATTGCCATCTATCATTGTAACTTTGTTTCGAAAAATAATTAGTTTTCATTATTTTTGTTGCATTTTGTAGTCGCTTTTGTGTTTTAAAACCAATAACAAGTTCGCCATATTCTCGATTAATTTTAATTTGTTTGCTTGTAAGGGTGTGGGTGTGTGTATCGATAATGAACGAGGAGAAAACGCTCACTCACATCCACCCGTTCGCAATAAATGTCAGATCAATAACTTAAGCAATGTGTAAATCTTCATTTTTTCTCATTTCAAATAAAGCAAGCATTGCGTCTCAAAGACATTGCATATTCACACAAAGTTCGGGGAATATTTCTGCACTTTTTGAATAAAACGACTGAAGATGTGGTGGTTGTTGTTCTTGAAACAATATTTGCCCTTCGACAGTATAATATTTTCCTTTCGTCCCAGGAAACCTTTGCGACTCATCATTACGCAGAGAATCCACAAAGACGTATAAAATTTTTCCAATTAAATGAATAACAACGAATATTTGTTGTATTGCAGGTAATAATCGATTTGACTTTTTGAAGACATCGTAAGGTCTTAAATAATTTTCTACAAAATGGTACAGAAATCTATTGTCACAACCAGCAGATCTGTTATACGATGAATATCGAGCTAGAAGTAAATGAAGAGAACTACTCATGCATGTACCTAATAATGATAAACGAGCGTTTCAATTGAAAAATCGTACATTCCTGCCGTTTTGGATGAATCTGAAAAACCATCGGATGCTTTACATAATAGTGAACGATTTGAAACCGTTCCACCTTGTCCTAAATCAAGAAATATCAATGTACATGTATTAATATCAAAGCAAGGTTCTCAAAGCCAACTTTTTTTCAAAGTTTAACTTCGATTTTGAAAATTTTGTCTCTTTGACTAAGATATACACTTTCATCTCGAAAACTTTCGTGATTTTAATTCTGAAAAAATCTGGTTTTCCCTGTTAACACTCAACAATCTTTACTATACTAAAAATTTAGAATTAAGACTTGTATAATTGGATACGAAAGAAATGAAGATCCACAAACACAAAATGAAAACAATTTAAGAGCAATTATCTTTATTTCTTCTTTTCTCGTTAAGTTCTGAACCTAAATCAACATTTTTATCTCATAAAGAAGTCTAAAAGTTGATATATGAAGAAAACATAAATCTATCAGATTTATGGAAAAGAAAAAGACCGTGTATTCGAGTCATTTATAAAATCAAACTTATAAGATTTTTCTTCGAATATTTTCAATAACAATTTGTAGCAACTAATGATAATCGAATGTTACTCGGTTCTCAATCAATGAATTAAATCAACTACCTTAAATATCATCTGAGTGACTATATAAGAGAACAATTTGAAAACAATAGGTTACTCTCTACCTATACAAAAAATTTTAATATCTTATTCATGGCAAGAAAATTAGTAATTTTTGATAAAATCAACGCATCATTTTTACCAGGTTGATAAAAGCCGAGTCTCATCAAATTAGCATCTGCCTTATGCATCATCAAAGATTTATTACCAGTAACTATTGCTTTACGTAATACCTACCCTATTGTGTGGGTGTGGGTCTGGGATGGTTGATTGTGAGTGTTCTTGCTGTTCTAGCTCAAAAAAGAGACTTCGACACCCACACCCACATCAATCAACAACTCAGCATCAAATGTCTTCAATTAATTCATCTGAACAAATGGATTTAATAAATAAAAACATAACTAATAAATTTATTTTTAGTATTAAAATAATACTTTTATTCATAAATTTTTTAGAGTTCATCGTGTTTATTATCTCAACAACAGCATACTTCTTCATCAAATATATGTGAACCAATTGATACAACAAACAGAAAAGTAACTACAATATTTTATTTAATGTTCATAGTAATTGTAATAATATTGTTCATCGTCTTCTCAGATAGCCATACGTGGACCTCTTACTCGTCAAGAAATCCGAGATGAGATAGGTGCTATGGCACGAAGTATTCTATCTTATTCAAACAAGAATGATAGAAAAGTTTTATTGATTGGTGATGGATATTGTAAATTAGATGTTCTTTTTGAAAAATTAGTTTCTTGCCAACTTTTTTAATATATTCCCTCGACTGAAAGGAGGGTTATATGAAAAAAATAGTTTGTATGCATGTTTGTTTGTCTGTGTCGGGGTCAAAAAAAAGGGTGTGGGTGTGGGTGATCTATTCTCTTCACACCCACATCCACACACACCCTCAAGATGGTTGCATTCAGAATAAGAAAAATAATAATAATAATAACAGAACAGTTAAAAACATTTTGATTTCAGAAACTGATTGTGTCCTTTAGAAATACAAATAAGGAGAGATTATCACTACTGGGAGCTGCACGTTCTGTCCTACCTAAAAAGGACGAAATATTGGAGCAGCTTTCGCTTGGTACTGACGTGGCAGGTGTGCTTAACATTCTTACTTTCTCTTTCAAGACTGAAGGTGCTACAATGTTCAATTTATCAATTGTTTTTGGTGTTGAGGTCAAAACCTTTCTTTCTAGGGAGGTTTCTGGTGATGACTAGAAAAACAATTATGCTTTTCGTCTTTTTTATTATAATTTACCAATGACATTGGCGACAAAATCAGTTAGAATTATGTATTAACCGAACGTGTAGTACTGACTTCATATTCAATAGAATAATCGTTTGATTTCACACCTTCTTCATATTGAATAGCATGATCATTTGCTATTACAATATCTGTATGCTATACAAAAATCAAGTAATAAGTAATCATTTTTTAAAATTTCAATGATTCAAAACACTACTTTTGTATCAGTTCTAATTAAAACTTCAATGTAATTGTACTTTTGTCTTTTATTTTAAAATAAAGTCAAGATACTCACGTCATAAGATATACTCAATGCTGAGGACTTGTTCTCAACCATGTTGACTTCATTACAATCATCTTGACATTTACACATAAGTTGAATTGAAATAATATTACCAGAATAACAAGTAGAATCCAGATTATGATCATGTTTCAGAGAAACATTTTTTCTTTATTCATTTAAAAATATCTTCAATTGTTCAATAAACTATGTTTCATTTACTCTTGATGTTGGAGATGATTTCTGCAAGAGAAGTGAAGTGAAATTATATTTATCAATCGATTATTGCTTTCATAAATATAAGCAGTTTTTATATACTTAATCAGAGATTGATCATCAATTTTTTTCTTCAAATAAAAAAGAACGTTCGTTCATGAAATGTTTTAACTTACTATAAATCTAATGATTATTAAATAAGCTATTTTGACACAAAGTAGTTTTGAAATTATAAATCATAATTATGTAGAAGATCTGAAAATGAGCATAATGATACCCATGTGTGGGTGTGGGTAATAGTCATATGAAGATGATGCACTCACACCCACACCCACATACTTGTAACTCTCAATGTGATGAAACTTACGTCGTCGTACTTGATTAATGAGCTTTAGTGTAAGAGGATATATTACTATGAGATTGTGAATGACCAAAAACACTTCTGTCATGAAATCATAAACAACAATTTTTTTCCCACTTTTTTTGGGCACGAAGAGCAACGATCAGTATTATATAGAATCTAGTAGTCTTGTTTTGCATGTTATCTACCTGATGAAATGTAATACACGTCACACCATCGTTTATAAGTCCTTATCAATTTTATGTTGACACAAAGCACATTTTATCTTCTTGAGCAATTGTTGTTGTTTTATTTTTCTCAGCGCTTGTAAACGGAATATAAAAAAGCTATCATAGTAGTATTTTTTTTATTTTTTAAACATTAAAAGTGTCGGTAAGACAACATCACTTCACCTTATTTCATTCAAGTTTTTTAGAATAATACATGATATTACGGCAGTGACTCATACACCAAATTTTGTCGTTTGTCGTTATACAGATTTTCATCATGAATCTGTTACTGGCCTACTCATCCCTATAAGTGGTTATCACGTTAAACCATTAGTTTCACTTGAGGAATCAGCCGAACCAATCTCTAATTTATTCGATGGAATAGAAAAAAATTCAAAGAATCCATTCGACGGTCTCAGTCAAGATGGGTCCGCTTCGATTCATTTCTATACAATTCAATTTGGCCCTGAACCTTTCATTTATCACTTACTTAACTCCTTAACGGTTAAATTTTTTTAAAACTAATCAGTTCAAAGATAGTATTTAAAAAGTAGATTCACACTGAGTATGAATTATGATAGCGAGAGACATTCGATATGAATCTTAAGACGCAGCAGATGGATCTTCTGTTAGTGCAGGACCATAATGTTTATTTTGACGTGTATATATGCTTCGATAATCGTTAAGCATTTTCAATTTATTATATACGTTTCGTATGTAATTAAAATAAGTTTTTCGCAATGATGATTCAAAATATTTTCAGAACTTTCATTACCTAATAGACTAAGTCGCATCTCCTCATTTGAGAATTACCAAGCTTTCGCTGTCGAAGTTTCTGTTTCATCAAATATACATACATTTAGTCAATCGTGTGTTCATGGATGTCTTCCAACTGTATGAATTTTCTAACATATTTCGAACAATTCATTTATTTTTTTCTAGATACTTAGTATTTTCAGGCAGAACCGATAACCATATGATTGTTATAGACAAGTTAATATTAGAATTTAACGATCATCTTGTTTACGCTTTCACTAAAATGTTATCAACTATTATCTTCTCTCATTCCTTATTTGAAACTTCTAAATGCTGAGGAAATTTTTAATGAATTATTACTCAAAGAATTGAAAAGTACAATCAATTTGATAATTAACGTTGATTATATGAAGGGTTTACATGCATAGTCTTTTCTTTAGGATCCTTTCAGATAAGTATGAAAATATAGCTACTTAACGCCGTTAATCAGACTTTTTGGATTACAATAAAGATTTAAGAGTCTGCAGACAATAAGTGATCAGCAGGAATATACTATTATATTGCCATTTTTCCAACTTATTGAGATCGAGCAGATGAACGAGTAGAATATGACGATGACAAAATATTTTCCAAGAGACTTTTTTAATATGATAATGCTATAATAATCTTCCATAACAGATACATCAGTAATTTCATTGAAATGAACTCTAAAATTTGAATACTTCTTTCAAGAAATGGCATCAAGCACTACAACACCTATATTTCCAGCAATAGCACAATCTTGTTATGGCAATGCTTGTCCTCGTTGTGGAAAATGCACTGATTGGTATTATGATGGGAATATCAAGGATGATATGGAGCGTTGCGAGCGTGGCGAATCTAAAGACATCAATGATGAGAAGCGTTGGCATCGTCGTCCTAATGGAGCATGTCGTCATAGTCATCCTTATTATAATCGTTTTGATGGTAATAATGGGTTTTATTTTTGTTTTTTTGATCATTATGGTCCTTATTTTACTGATAAGCGTCCTCTCTGTCAATGCGGTTGTTAGCAAACATATTTATTGTATTTTTGGCGTTTACCCGTCACCCTTGATGATGCCAAAGGCATTATTGCTAAATGAGAAATATTTTTTAATAAAATATTTATAGAAAAACAAAAATGGAACAAAGATAAAAATGTCATTATGTGAGAATCTTGAAGGTGTGGGTGAGGATGTGTGTGGGGTGGGTATAAATGCGGAAGTGAGTATAGATAGAGCGAGGATGGCTGTGGGTGTGGGCGTGATTATCTTTTTTTTCAATCCACACCCACACCCTCAAAATTGTTCAGGATTCTTATAATATGATTGTATATATTAGAGTGTGTGGAATTGAGTATTTAATGAGATCGATAGTGATGCTTTTCTTGTATGTGAAAAACAAATGAATTCTATATTCAATATTTAAAGCTTTAAAAAAATACTATTGTTTATCATATAATTATCCATAAAACTAAGGTGTGGGTGTGGGGTGAGAACCAGATTCAGGATATGACTTTTTCTTCTCACTGTCAAACCCACTCACTCTAAATTCGTTGAATTAATCTCTTCATGAGAAAAGAACGAACAATAGTCATGACTATTTGAAACAGATGTTTGGATACTAGTTAATCCCACCATGCACTTCGTATTCTTACTCCAAGAAATTTGATCTTTTGGTAAAAAAACTATAATTGCTTTTCATTGAGTATAAAAAAGAATAGACAAAAAAACAATCAATCACCATTTCTTTCATTTATTATCACAGTTACAGTGATTGTTACAATGTTATCGTTGGACCTTCTCTTTTGCTATATGTTAATAATACTAATCGTTTTACAAAATTTAGCTGTCGCCTATCCACGCAAAGTAAATATTTTTGTTTATACTACACTAGAATTATGATTCATCGTTATGATTTGTAGATTTTTCGATACGATCCAAAGGAAGCAGGTGCTTTTGAAGGAGATATTATTCTTCCACCAAGCACTGTAAGTATACACAACAGATATTCTATCATTTTATACGATCCAATCAAACTACCATGACTATATCTATTCAGCGTGGTGTTGGAGAGGCAGCTCAAGAAGCAAGATGGACAAATGGTATTGTACCTTATGTGATTAAATCCGGTGATTTCAGTAAGAATAAATGCTTCTCTTGCAGATTCTTTTAATGAAAACTTTTTCTGTAGATGCAGAACAAGAAGCAGTTATTGTAAAATCAATGAGACGACTCGAACAATCAGTCGCAATCAATAACAAGCTCTGCATTCAATTCAGACTAAAAGTATCTACCGATAAACATTTTACCACCATTAAAACAGGTGCTGGATGTACAAGTAGTGTAAGTAAACTGATAAATGAAAATTTTTGAAATGTTATGTGCGTATATCCGTAATTGTAGGTGGGACAAAACTGGTATAGCACCAAAGAACTTACCTTAGGCAATGGTTGCATTCATGAAGGAACGATTATGCATGAACTATTACATACTTTAGGTATTTAATAGTTTTTTCTTTTTTAATCCGTATCATTAATACATTCATTTGTTACAGGATTCTGGCATGAACAGTCTCGTCCTGATCGTGATAACTATGTGACAGTTCAATATGCAAATGTTCTACCTGGTAAAGTCAAACCTTTACAACTTTTAGAGATATTACTATGTTATATATTTATAGGATTGGAACATGCTTTCAATAAATATACAACATCTGTTGACACACTTGGAACACCTTATGATTATGAAAGTCTGATGCATTACGGCAGTCATGATTTCAGTTCCAACGGAAAACCAACAATAGTACCAAAAAACTCAACAGCTAAAATTGGTCAAGGACATAGTTTAAGTCGCATTGACATATTGGAAGTCCAACTCTACTATCAGTGTATTGGTCCCGTTTCTGGTAAATAAACTTTTCCCATACCTCATGTATATGTAGTAAATCTTTTATTAGTGGAAAAAAAACTAACAGTTACAGGGCTGAAAAGATTTTCGATGTCTCATAAACTTTTGTTCTGTTACCGATAATTGATGTTTTGTGGCTTAGTTCCAATCAGGACGTTTCATAGAAGACACGATCTAAAGCAGAATGTGGGAGTATTTAGGATGGAAATTTGGAAATGAATTCAAGAATCGTGTACATTTCTTATTCGTTCAAATGATTATGCTATATTTAGGGCGTCTGATTCCACTATATCGTTATACTCGAGGATATTATGATCATTTGTATACAACAAATGGTCAAGAAATAGGCACAACTACTCAGGGAGCCATTGGTCGCTATGGGTACAAGTACCAAGGCGTTGTAGGCCAAATCTACGATTCGACCGGTCCTCAGCCATCATTTACACTGCCATTTTATCGATATCTAAATATTCTCAATGGTCAGCATTTGTATACGAGTAACTGGCGAGAAATTGGTACAAACAGAACTGGTGTTGTTATCAAAAATTGGATGTACGAGGAAAATGTCGGATATCTTTATCCAATGAGCCAACCAAATACATATCCGCTTTATCACTATTATCATGTTAATCAGAGTGCACATTTCTATACAACAAGTATTCAGGAAATAGGCACAACAACGCCTGGTGCAATTGGGAAAGTCGGGTATCAATATGAAGGCATCGCCGGTTATATTCTTTAGCCTAGTTCAAAATGAGACTACTAAGCTGTTAATTAAACATTTGTATGGCGAAATAAGTGGTCCATTTCCATTTTCTTTCTTAACCCACATTTTAAAAATATTTATCCTGAAGTCCAACTCTACTATAAGTGTGTTGGTCCTACTTCTGGAAAATAATATTGAAATAAAATAAAATTCATTATTGCTGAAAAACATAAAGTATTTTCATGTATTTTTTAATGTCTTTCAATTCAGCCACTATCTTGATAGTGACGATGTTAAAGTATCTTCGTTCTATTCTCATCCTTCTCTTACTCTCATTCTCAAACAATAAATAACGCTCACCGAGGCTGACTCGCTCAATCCTCGACTAAATTAGCACCTGATGGTGTGTGTGTGGCTATAAGATTCGCTGTAGTTGGACACCCACACCCTTATATGTGAACAACTGGAATGAATTCAACAATTTATTCGTTTTCTTCAATAGTTCATGTATACATACAGAGCATTCTGATTGTTATACTTGTCTTTTGTAATAATTAATTGTTCATTTATCATTCATTTTACTCAATTTATTTATTCCAGCTTTTGTTTCTCAACGTACTGTTCTTCTTCTCTATTGACTATTATGTCTCACGTTTCCTATTTCTTGTACTAATGTACTATATATATAGATTCATTCTCAAAACTAAAATCATATATACTTAGTTCTAACAAATAAAATTCCTATCATGAAATAACATTTCGCTTTCTATCAGGTTAATCCATCCTTGTCTTACACAAATCCATAAAAAAAGATTAAATGAAAATACAATACGAAAATTAATCACCGCGCAATCATCGTAAATGCACAAAGGAGCTTCTAACAAATCTACTACTATCAAACATCTCTATCGTTTTAAAATCATACGCAAATTTTACATCAAATGGATTATTCCAATATCTTTCTATTCTTTATTAAGCCATTCGAAAAAACCTTTGAGCTAGGTCGAAACATGGCATGGTAGTTCTCATCGTCCTCATCCCAAATATATGCTTTTTATGTTTATGATATTTTATTAGTGATTAATATGAAGGAATAAAAAGAGTTTTGTATGTATTTTTTACTTAAAATTTTACCTGTATTAAGTTCATTCATCAATATTGTCAATCTATTTCTGTACAATCACGATCTTAGGCAATATTTGATAGAAAAAAATTTGAAATGTTTGCATTCAAATCGAGAGTGTGAATGTAAGTGAAAGTCTTTTTCTTATGCTAATAAAATTGTTCTATAGAATAATCGTATTAATTTCCATAATCAATATAAATCATTCGATAGGCAAATGAGTTTTTTCTTCCATTACAAATTCTCTTCTACCAAAATTGCAATTGTTCAAAAGAATAATCAAAAATGCTTGTCTCTGAAAAGTAACAACAAGATCCAATTTGTTATCGTTATTAAAATCACCTTTAGCGATTGAAAGTGGTGCACCACCAACGGTAAATGTTATTTGACTGACAAAAGTTCCGTTTTGACTACCGAATAATATATTAATACTACTACCGACATAATTATTAATAACAAGATCTAATTGACCATCATTATCAAAATCACCTGTAATAAGATAACGTGAAGAACCTAATATTCCAGTTTTATATAGCATTTGTGTTCCAAAAGTCCCATCATTATTTCCAAACATAACAGCTATATTATTGTTCAAATAATTGACCATACTAATATCTAAGTGATTATCATTGTTAAAATCTGCTGTAATAATTGACCATGCAAAGTTAAAAGTTTCAGTTGGAACCATCATTGATAAATCAAACTGTTCATTTCCAGTATTTAGTAAAATACAAAGATAATTTGCTGAAGAAGTCACTGCAAGATCCATTTGATTATCATTATTAAAATCACCAGTAGCAAATGAAGTTGGACGACTACAGAAATTATTGTAAAATGATGTTTCAATGACAAATGTTCCATCACCAACACCTACTAATAAAACAATTTGATCATCGGAATAATATGTAGTAACAATATCTACATGACCATCATTATTAAAATCATTCGAAATAAATGAAAATGATTGACCAGGATTTTCATTTAAAAATGTTTTCAATTCTCCAAAATTTCCAGTTCCATCACCAAGTAGAATACCTATTTTGTATAATCCATTATTGGTGAAGGCGAAATCTAAACGACCATCACCATCAAAATCGTCAACAATAATCATATATGGATGATTTCCATCGTCAAATGAAAATATATATGATACTTGAAAAGATCCATCATTATAGTTTAGCACAACATTTATATTCTCACGATCACATGTATAGTGCACGATATCTGCACAATTATCACTATTAAAATCACCGACAGCAACGAAACTAGAACGTAAGTCAGAATAACAATTTGTGTCGAGTGTATTGATTTTTATCATTTCAAACATTAATTGTGAAGTTGATACTAAATAAAATTAAAATTAAAATCTTTTCAATATTTCATGAAATTATACAAACTTGTTGAAGTAGAAATTGATGTTATAGAAACATCAGTATTGATTGTTGTATTTTTCAAAGTTGTTGATAAAACTAAAAGAAATAAAATTTAATTCTTAGTCAAAATTTTTAATATAAATATCTGAATTGAAATAAAAATAATCAGGTAATAGAAGATCATACTTGTCTGTATTGCTTCATTTTTCTTGTGTTGATTAAGATAAACAAATGGAATGATGATTATGACAATCATTATCGTGATTAGAATTCCTACTATGATAAAACATAATAATTTTGACATTGAAAATACCCTAAAAAGATTATAAGAGATTTTAAAAGGATATGAAAGAAAGGGAGTATACGAAGGTGGTGATATTGCAATCATTGTTTTTGAATTAACATCAGTAACTTGAGTATCTTTAGATATTACTGTTATATTAACATTTTCAGTAGTATTCATTTCTAGAACGTTTGTAGATTGGATAGTATTTGTTCTCTTTTTACGAAACTGATTTAGTTTGAATAAGTAATAAATTATTTTTGGACAGATCCATTTTAAGATGAATGATAAGCCACCAGAAAATCCAAGTGAAACAGTGACTGTGTAAAGTGAATTAAACTGTTGAACATAAGTATAGGAGCAAAATGTTGGTAAACATTGATCAAAGTAGGCTGAATAATTGATTGTTGTTGACCACTGGTCGACGAATAAATCATTGATTAAATCCATTACTGTTGTATTCATTAAAAATCGACTATCAGCAATAGAAAGTGGTTCAGAAGCATTTGCGATATCATGCTCATCGAAAATGGACGTATAATATTGAATTAGATTAATACACGATAAATCATAGAAACATTCAAGAGTCGAAGATAAAAATGATTCACTTGATGTACATCCCATTTTCAAACCTGTGATTTGAAATATTTCAGATGAATTTCCTTGAACAAAACCAGCTTGAGTGGTACAGTTTGAATACAGTGCACATGAACATCCATTGTCGTAAGTTATTGCTTGAGTGATTGCTATTTGATCACTATATGAATCATACCAAGGAGCAGCAACGTATTTAAAATTTGTTTCATAAGCTGAAACAATCGCATTACCATGGTTTGTCGTTCGAAGCAAGAAAAGAAAACGAGAGAACATTAAAGGAGCATTAATTTTACTTTGATTAATAAGTGAATAAATTATTTGATCAAAAGTTATTGATGGAACAAGTTGAACAGTGACAAAAAATGAAGACAGAAGCTGATTAATAGAACTATTTACTGATTGAATAGAAAGTTGACATAATCCAGTAAGAAACTGTAAATGTGATGATAGAAAACGACGATAATCTGCAGTAGTATAGATAGATAAATCAGGAACAAGATCTTTTGTCACATTTATTCGCCATTCATCTGATGCAAATGGACTCAAACATATCTATTTTTTTAAAAAGAAATCTGAATTTTTTTTAAATACTACTTGATTATTTTTGCTAACTTACCGGATGAAATATTGGCTCAATGTTGATAAAAGCATCGTAAACTGAAGTAATCGATGAACAAGGACATTGAAGTGTATTTCCATGTTTAATCACGAGACTTTTGTAAGTAGTGAGAGATGGTTTCATAAATGTTTTGGTTAGAGTTTGAGGATTGACAATATTGTAGAGAATGAAAATGTTCAAACCAATAATTAAAAGTATTATATAGAAACGAGTAGTTATTTTACCAAGTTTCACTGCTATTGCGCGGTGCGTATTACTTCCAAAAACTCTTATAGGAAAAGTATTCAAATTAACAAGAGTTGTATACATAAGTATGGCCACTTTTCGTATTAATATTTTGATCCGATCGTGGATCTTCATAGGAACTAAAAGGAAAAGATTTAAGCTATTTTTTTTTTAAATATTTAGTATAAAAAACTTTGTATAACTTTTATCAATAATTTATAATAGCTGATAAGTAATTACCTTCTGGTTCTGTATTAACCTGTGGTGATATCAATCGCAATATAATTCTCACAATTTGAGGTGTTATCAGACGCAAAGCAACAGTAAGACCACCTAACATAGATATCATTTGTATTATTATTCCTAGAAGACCATAAGTATGTGTTTTATAACTATAAGTACAATAATTTGGTGAACAAGCTTCATAATGTTGTTCGAATGAACATGAAAAATTCCACTGTTCAACCATCATTTCTCTAACTATCACTGAAAGAGATGTTTCAGGAGGAAAACGACTTGATGTATTGTCATAAACTAAAGGATGAGCCGCAGACCAATCATATATAACATATAGTAAGCGTATCCAAATGATATAATAATAATAGATTGATAAACACGTGTCGTCATAAAAGCATTCTAGAGTTGAGAGTTGAAGAGAATCCAGCATAAAACATCCTGCAATAAAACCTGGCACTAAATAAGGTGTAGTTAAATCTTGATCACCGTTCGGTAGTAAGGCCCACTTATATAAAACAACTGAACTTTGACAACGAGGATTAGTAGCACAAATACAATCGATGGATGTAGAGTTTATATCTATCGGACCAGTGAAACTAAACTTTAGCTAAAGAAACAAAAAAAATATTTATTTCTGTTTCAAATAATAAAAATTTATGCGCGACAATTTGTAGATGTAAATTATTTTCTATTTTTTAAAAATAATGATTAGCTATAGTAGTACCAAGTGAGTCATTTTTGACCCGTTGATAATCAATTAAATCATACAATGAAATTTTTCTTGCCTTCTATTTTTTATAAACAGAGTGTTCAGTGAAGATCGAGACGTGGGTTAGGGTATGGGTGAGTGTGAGGTGTATGTGGGTGAGGAAGATCTACTGACACAAAGCGGCAATGTCTAGTTCAGGCTTTGGAAAAAATAAAGAGCTATTTTAAGATTAGAGGAACAGTTTTGAGATAGGACTTATGCTGATGTAGACACGTGTTTGTGAAGGTCATTGAGAGTCATGTGGAGCGAAAAACAGAGCTTGGTACTACTAGGATTAATAAAAGAAGAATACCTCTGGTGGAGATTGATTATTTGTTTCATCTGACGGTGTTATAGGAAGAAGTTCTGCATTTTTCGAATTTGTATAAGGTTGATCTACACTTGTAAAAAGATGTACCATATCAGTAAGAAGATTAAATTCAGTAATTAATGATTGCTTAAATTGTTTAAAAGTTGTATTTAACTTAGCATTAAATTCTGATTCACTGATAACATATTGAGTAACAAATGATTTTGTTAGAAACTGTTGAACAGCATCATCAATTGTTCTATTAGCCAATTGACAAATACTAGATAATAGTTTAAAATATCGACTATCAAAAGCATTCAAACCAACAATAAGTTTCGCATTGGTGATAGGTTGATTATTAAATAAAGTCACCGTTGAAATCCAAGATTCGCTGATAAAACCACTTGAACATATTTGATGTAAAGTTGGAGATAATGTAATAAATATATCATAAGATATTGATATCTTCTTACAAGGACATTTAAGTGAATCTGAATACAGTTCATGAAGATGTCTATATGTAACTAATGAAGGATTTGATTGAGTAATTATTGTCATTTGAACACTGAGTGAAGTAAATAAGACAAGAATAGAAATTGAACCTAAAAAATGACATAAAAGAGAAAAAAAAGTAATAGTTGTATTAGTATATGTAGACTTGAGAATGAACAGAAAGGGAAATTCTAACGATATTCAATGTGATTTACAATGTTAATCCAAACATTTTCAAACAAACGATAGAAATTCATTCAATATTCATTAATTGAACAATAGAATGAAAATCTAATCTTCCATTTTATTCTACAAAAATTTTACCTCCAAGTAAAATCAAATAAACACGCGTGATAATACGTTGTTGTTTGATATCATTGACTGTTCTGTTTTTGGATGATTTGAACAGATTCAGTTGCTTTATCCATTGAACGAAATGCTGAAGAAATGTTCTATAATATCCTAGAAAGAAAAAAATAAATTCTATTATAAAAGTTAACGTTTTTCATTATATTCAAAATAAATACCAATATTAATATTATTATTATTATTTATTGTATAACGTTTTAATTTCATCCAAATATAGATCAAGAAAAACGCAGTTGAACGAAGAATAATACAGAGACCGCCATAGATACTCAAGAAGAGACTAATCGTATAAAATAAACTTATTTGATCTGTTTCTGTATATGTACAAGATACGGGAGCACATTGAATAAAATATTTTGAATAATTAATATTTGTTGACCAATTTTCCACAAATAACTTTGGTAAAATATTTTTTAAAGATTGATTTTTTTGACTTGAAACTGAAAGTGGATTAGTCCAAGCAAGATCCGTCTGAATAACAAAAAAAAAGATTTTAGAAGATAAATAAAAATGATTATTTAGATACATACTGAACTGAGTTGTGGAAAATAATCGACAAGCATTTCAAGACAGCTTTGGTTATAAAGACAATCAAATGTACTTGCAAGAACAGCATCAAGAGGTGTACAACCACCAAAAAAACCATCAATCATTGAAGAAATAGTAAGATTTTTATGAGCAGTAGAAAAATAAGGCCACATTTCATAAATGAAAGCATTCGGGAAAATATTGTCAGCAGGTGTTAAAGAAAAGAAACCAGCCGGTGTAACATAACTAGTTAGTTCACAAGACGCCGACTGAACAGCTGCTTCATCAAAATCATTAGGATCTGGCGAATAATATGTAGGTGCAACATAAAATTTGCCAATCGAGGCAAAAAGTACTGTTAAACGGATATAAACTACAAAATTTGTTTTGAGCGCAGAAATAAAAAAAATCGATTGAGTTGTTACATGAAGAAAGTCTAATGGTCTGATCAACTGAGACGGTGTACTACTCTGAATAATTTCGATATTTCCAGATATTTCAGATTGAACTTCATTTTCCGAAAGAAGTTGAATGGTTATAAGTTGACTATTATCAATATCAGTTAGAGCTTGAGAAATAAGAGTTTTCGACAACGAGCAAAAAGCAGCAAGAAACTTAAACTAAATGAAAAGACAGATAAAAGTGTATTTTAATAACAATTAAATTACTTGAGAACTTGCAGTTGTTCGAAAGTCCATTACTAAATATGAACTTGAATATAGATCATAAAGTGCATTAATCCATTCATCGCTAACAAAAACGCTTGTACATATTGGATGGTATACGATTGTATTAGAAACAAAGGTTTTATATGGAATACTGGTGGATGTACATGGACATGATAGAGTTTCGGGATGTTTAAGACGAAGTTGATTATATAAAGATGGAGTAATATTTGAGAGAGTAATTGCTCGAGTTTGTGGATTCATCAAGTTAAGGATGAAGACAATGTAAATAGTTACTAAAGATTAAAAAAGGAAGAATAGATCAGAAACGAAGATTATTCTTGTAGATGATTTTAAATTATTAGATTTTCAATAACTTTTTATATGTTGTCATAAATAGACTTAATCAACTTACTAATAATAAGAAGAACATATAACCGCGTAGCATATCGTTGATGTTTGACAACTATTGTTGGATCTATTGATTCATCGTTGTCTTCATGATATTCTTCTTCATTAGGAATAAAAAGATTGTAATGATATATTTTTGTATAAAACCATTCAAAAAAATTTTCGATTTTCATTGTGACGATCAAATCATATAAATAAATTCACTATGATATTTATATAACAATTATATGATTTAAAAGAATATGGGTGGATAAGAGTGAAGAAATCATTCTTAACTGACACTCACATCCTATCGTCAGAAGAGTTTTTATGAGAGGATGCAAAATCTATTAACGATAAAATTAATCCTACACTTGATTTTCTATCTACAGTATAGAATTTATAGTTAGAAGAAATCTTCTTGAGTATATACAAAGATACAACTTGTTGATCTATTTTATGAATTTTTTCTAATACATACTTGAATAACATTTAATGATAAGTCGTTTAAAGCTTTAACAAGAGATTTACGAGGCCGATAACATTGTCTCATGCGTTCGGTAGTGTTGAAGCGTTTGAGTGATAATAACTCAGGGACAGTAACTGCTCTGTTTTGTTGTAAAGTTCGATTAGTATTATATCTATCTGTAGAATTTATATCATTATGGTGGTGATAATAATCAATGATGCCGTTTAAGAAAATTTCTTCTAACTATAAATTCTACAGTTTAGATAAAAAACCAAGTATAGGTTTCATTTTGTCGTTAGTAGGAGAATATAAACATTAAAACTGCTATCCCCTGTTTGAAATTACTTATTAATTGGTAAAATAAAACATAAAGAATTGATATGGGAAAATTAAAATAAAAGTATTCAGTGAAAGAACCGTCACTAACAATTAACTTACGTAAATAGGCATATAGTTTGAAATAAGAAGTAATTTCAAATATTATGAATAGACTAGGCAAAGATGCACTGACGTAAATATAGGAGCAAAAAAGAAGTAAGATTGTTTTTTTTAATGTTATATGCAAGTGTCGTTAGGTAGAAATATAAGAAGTAATATATATTATGCGTAGTAGAGTAAAAACATGATTCTAACAGAAAATCCTGACTTATTCTCTATTATAATATCATTTGGAGTGTTGTTGAATATTTCAATATTTAATGATAGAAAAACTCATTTTGTTCAAAGGAAATGAGAATTATAATGGAAAATTGAAGATGTTTATATTATTTCAAGGAAAAAGAATAATAATAATAAGTGCATTACAGTTTAAATAGTACGTGGATAAAGATATCTTTAGTCCTCCTTTACATCTTGCGGGTGTGAGTGTAAGAAAAACACATTCTAACCCACACACCCTGAAAATTAAGAAAACCTTCCATCCTATATTTCGCTATATTTTTATTCTATTTCTATATAAATAAGAAACGAATGAGTTCTTCTTGTAATAAAGAAATATTATTTATATAAAGTTAATTAATTTCAAATACTTTAATCTGATGAATATAATATTTATCTATTTAAAATCGACGAAGAATACACAAAACAGCATTGAATAAGTTAGAACGATTGACATGAATAATTTATGCACTCTGATAGTTATTAGCTTGATTAGAATGTTGACGAAATTATTTTTGATATTATCAGATTTTAACAGAAATTAATGGCTGGATGTGTGTGTGTCAGAGCCATAAAAGTATACAATGTAAAAAAATACATAGTACGGCATAAAACATAACCAAAGAGTTTTTTTTCGATACGGAGAACTCGAATCTGAGATCTATCTAATCAAATAAATTATGACGGAACATACCCAGATGATTAAACGTTTTAGACCTCATCTTTTGGCCATGGATAGACTTCGATTAGCTATGAAAAGCCTCAGAAAGATTCGTGCCCTCATGCCTTTACTCCCGAGAAATCCAATTTTTAAGATACATAAAAAATAAGCGAATAAAATGAAAAACTACTGTTTTTAAAGAATAATAGAGTATTAGGATGAAAAAAGTCTTTTAATTTCGTATTCTTTTCGTGGAACCTGTTTTGAATTGAGAGTTACATCGAACCTTATCATTAGTATTTCTACTCATTGTTTATTAACCTATAGAGCACTGAAAATTCGTCATTTTATCGTTGTTATCATAATAAACCATCTTGAGGGTGTGGGTGTGAGTGAAGTTAAGAGAAGAGATACTCACACCCACACCCACCCACACTCTCAAGATTAATACATGACAATCACTTTTCATCTTATATATCACGTTTTAACTAATTGCATCTATTCTCTAAACAAATCGATGTAATACATTGAATCATTAAGGATTTTCGCGGAGGTTTAGATGTTTGAAAAAGTCTAAAATGGTTCACTATAGCGTCTTTTTCTTTTGAGAGTAGTTTATTGTGTGCTTTTACAAATAAATATTTTAATCTACGTTGTTTAGTTTGACAGTAAATGCGAAAAGTTAATATTAAAATAATAAAACTATCATTCACTTATCACTCAAGAGAGTATCAATCAAAACTTATGAATATAATACTAATTCATAGTGTTCATCATAAAAATAGGGTGGATGTGGGTGTGGAAAATTAAAATAATAAACACTCGCACTCTCATCAATTATCACGACATCCATTCCAGGATTGAATTTTTCATAGTGAGATCTCTTTTACCAAAGCAGACATCTTTTTCTGAAAATCCCTCCATGACATCTAGAGGTTGAAGTTCTTCGTTAATATATTGGAATCTCACAGGTACGGAATGAATATAATTTCTACCTCCATTATTCGACTATGGGGAGTTCGCATTGATAGAAAAATTCCTACTAATTATCTGAAAACCTCATTCAAATCTTCATGATCATTTTTTAACTTTTTGAAGCGTTTGAAAGTCATATTCTTATTGATAATATATGTAGTTTAGATTTATTATCGATTACCTATTCGCTTCGTTTTCTATCGACATTTACTGTGCATATTTTCATATTGAATTAAATATGTCTACTGATGTATAAGAGACTCTGGAGATATCGAATTACGCTCTTCTTCGATTCATTTATTTTGAAAATAATAAATAAACGCAACATAGAACTAAAGATACAAAAAAATATAGACTATAATCCGTTCGATAATTAATGATAAAAATACTCCTTCCCACGTTATTTTACTGCATCATAATATTCGTTCTTCGTATGACGACGCTAAAGACGTCATACCACGCGATATGAGCGAAGGACAGGAAGAAGAGGTGTATATAATATATATATATAGGAAATATTTCTACTGTATTGTAAATCATAAAAATGCACTCAATAGTTTATTTTTACATTGTTTTTACACTCTTTTTCATCAATACACATGGAGAACCACTCTGTCTATACAACTGTACAGCTTCTGGATATGTCGGTATGCCTCTTAGTATTCCAACATCCTGTGAACAACGTAAGAAAGCGGACAGTTGCCGTGTTGCAGTCAAATTCTATTATCATGACCGAAGATATGATGTAGAATTTGATACATCATTTGGTAATCAATATTATCGATATTTTTATATTCTACCGACAAACTATTTATCTTATACAGCTATGTATGCTTGTATTGATAATGATAATTGTGCAATCGACTTCGCCAGCAAGAAAGTACTCGATCTTTCAAGTCGAACGTTCAATGTTAGCAGTCAATTAAGTAGTTTTCTTCTTGAAGATCGACAACCTTTTAATTCAACACTTCGCTGTTATGACAATGAAGAATGTGTTTCCGGTGTATGCCAAATCAAATATAACACCGATAATAACAAAATGGATAAAAGAGGCTGTGCAACGGATGGGATCGCACGAGTGTTTGTATCCGACGGTAGTTCACTTCCTTCATTTGATATTGAGTGTAATCGAACGAAATGCAATTCACCCGAAACTTACAACGAGGTGAAAGAAATCCTCTTTCGACACAATCTCACTGATATCAATGGTCGAATTAATAGTGGACAAAAATCATGTGTATCACCATTTCTTTTAATAGTTATTTCTCATTTATTTGTTTTTTTCTTTTAATCAAAACTGATGTAAATAAATTATCACATTCACACTCATCCCAGATTTCTCTTATAATCTATTAAATTTTATCTCCATAAAAACACATGTCGGTAATTAACTTTTACAAGACAATCATAAAGTAATTTTCCTGTTTGACTAAATTCTTCCATTTTGTTTAAATATATTTAGGGGAGATAGCAGTAGAAAAATATGAAAGAAAAAGAGTGATAACTGTTGAGAACATCATTTTTATTTTTTCATACAGAAAAAAAAGAAAACATTCAAGCTGAGTATGGGTGTAGGTGGGTGTGATCATCTTTTTTTCAATCCACACCCACACCCACACCCTGTATAAACGAGAAGTGAACTGTATGAATAGTATTTATCTTGGTTAACTATACAATCACATTTTATTATTATCATACAAATTTAAATGAATAGAGTTATTTTCGATGTTGTTAGATCGGTTCAAACACAGGCTAAATCATTATTTTACACAGTTAATAAACCAATAGTAATCATTAATAACGAAAGTAAAGGGAGTGGATATCGAATGATAAAAAATAATTCTGATAGAATGTTTTTGTTTATTTGTATGAATAAGTAATAGTGGAAAAGAAAAAAAAATTCATTACTGAGAAAATATCAACGCCACAGATCTACACGATTAGATTGAACTTTTACAGCGAATTGATTGAATAAGTTTCCTTGATGACTTAATTTCTTCAATCGTTCTAAATAGTTTATATCATTATGAACTATTATGGAGATTGATATTAAATATGGATTATTGGTATGAGATTTCCATGTCAATAGTCTTACTATACTTGCAGCATGTCTATAACATTTGTTGATTTCGAAACATTGAATTCGAGGACATAAATTCAGTAATAATTCGACTTCATCCATATCGTTAGCAGATTCAAGTATCAAATTTCTAATAATGTTTCTATTTGAAACTAATCGAAAAGTTTCACTTAGCTGAATTGCTTGGTAATCATTCGAATGTATAAATATTCTTGGAAGTTGTAATGTAACAAGATTCACTGTCGTTAATAATAATTGAATCAATCTTCCGAATGAATAAGGATAAAGAAGAATATTTAATTTGGTAAGATTTTTCAGTGAAATTATATGATCTAAATTATCGATCATCCCATTTGAATTGTGTCCATAAAAATTATCAACACTGAGTTCATTTGCATTTGGAAAATAATAAATACAATTGTCCATTGTCTCTTTATTCAAAATACGAACATGATGAACCGCATTTTCATTCTTTTTCATCTTAACATCGAAATCCGTTTGTTTATTCGTGCTATATTGTAATCTGAATTCTTTTCGTCTTAAAAACAAAGGTAAATAGAAAGAAATGTTTTTTAATTCAAGAAAATGTTACCTATAAGGACTTGTTGAATAAAAAGTAGTTCCATAATAATAACCGCTACTGCTGGAATCAAAAAACCATTCTCGTTGTAACCAGAATAGAGATTTAAATTCATCGAATTCTGATTGATTATTTCGTGCAGAAATGTAAATATTAAAAATACGTAAACATGGCATTGAAAATAATATTAATTGTTCCCATCGTTTAGCATTGAAATACTCATCCGTATTTGTTGCAGAAAAATGTAAAACTACAATTGAATTAAACAAAGTTTTAATAAATATTTCAAAATCATCGAAACAAATAATATTTAATTTGACATATAAATGTGTTAAATTATGAGGTGATGAAATTGCTCCTTCCCATTTATCCGAATTAGATTTATGAAGATTATCAAGGGATAAATAACGAAGTTGTGGAACATATGATAATAATGTGTGTATTTCATTGGTAAATATTTTATGTTTAATAACAAGTTGTTGAATAGGACTGTTTTGATTGGTAGCCAAAGGTAATTGTTTACTACTATAATAAGAAGAATTGTGTAGAGATAATTTACAATATTTCAAGGATGGTAGACGAAATATTTGTAGAAGATGATGCTTAATATCTTTAACATCATCAGAAGTAATGATGACTAATGAAGAAAGATTTGAGAGAGAAATAATGTCATTAAGAATATTGTCTATATAGTTAGCATCGATGTTTTCAAGAATAAGTGTTTCTAATCGAATAAATTTTGTTAAAATACGATGTAGTGAAATATCAAGATCATAACTAAATCGATTGGTTATGTATAGTGAAGTTATTCGATCCTGTGATGGAATAATAAAATTTGTGTAATAATCTCGAAAGTTTATTCTTGTAATAGATGAAATATTTATTTTCAATGGAAGATTTGAATAAGTAACAAAGTTTCGAAATCGTATATTAAGATTGTTGAACGCTTGATATGAATGAAAAGCATCAAGAAATTCAAATATTTCATAAATAATTTCGTTTGATAAATCTTCAAATCGTGTGAAATTTTGTTTTGATGAACTAAAAAACAAAATTTCACATTTAAAGATAACAAAACAAAAATGAGTTATGAACAGACCGATTGATAGATGTTTTTACTAGAAATTATAAAAAAATAAACTTAAATATTCGAATGTAAATCTATACTTTTTCTCTTTTGTCGTTTTGTATCATCATGATTGATAACACCGGTACTTCGTACTCTCTTTCTCCTTTCCATTGTGAATGGTATGAAAAAAGTCGATTTTATGTTTTATACAGAAAAATCGATGAAGATATATACTGCATGAAATGCATTGCTGAGTAACAAAATTGAAAAAAAAACTGTTACATGATGATGGTGAAATAACAAGTATGCTGCATGAGTCATAAAAAGTAAATGTTTTGTTTTAGAGTATTAGACGATTCAATAGGATTTAGTTATTGAATAAGACAAATAAATCTAACAGAATTTTCTGACTTATTTCAAAGTCATTATCATTCTAAAATGATGCATTTCTTGACTCAAAAACGTATCACTGTGATGGATTTAGTAAATAAATAACGCTCAGCGTGGATGACTCGAGGGTGGGTGTAAATGTAGGTGTGAGTGTGGGTGTGGGTGTGGATATTACCCGTTTATGTAGTATCCAAACCCATACCCACACCCACCCATAGAAAATAAAAGATGAGACCGATGAAAACCATTCTAGACATGTTGATTATTGTGTGACGTAGCAAAAAATACTTTTTTTTAAGGACATGCGTTATATTACAAGAAAATTTGCAATTATAACTACTCATTGACTTATAAATCCATTCAAAAACGTTTATTTAGATGTTATATTACCAAAACACACAAAGTTTACGATACAACGAGCAATAATCATAATTTCTTAAATCCATACGGACACAGAGTCTAAACGTGAGAAAAGCAACGGTTGTGGTGAGAATAATATAGAAAATATTATTTATTACTGCCTTTCTAGTTTTTTGATCCTTTACAAGCGGTAAAAAACAAATCCAATCAAATTATCTCAACAGTTATGTTTCTCTAGTTAAGATTATTTTTCTGTATAATCGACATTGTAAACAGTATTATGGATAAAATCAAACAATGTACATTCGATTTTATATGTTATCCAGAAGTAGACGATGCTATTAGTAGAATTTTGTAACTTTAATAAATGTAGTGTTCGTTTTAAAGATCATGATCATCTAACGATTGCTTAAGGGTAGGTATGGGTGTAAATATTACATTCACTCTATAATTCTCACGACTGTTTGAAGAAGAAATATACCGATCGATATTTTGTGATATTACTTTTACGTCATATGTCTCGTCAGTCACGATATCTCTTCATTATAATAAACTGTTCATCAACTAGCAATATAATTATTTATACAAAAACCAGATTAACTTCTCATACGTACTGATTTAACAACTTTCAAGTTTTTAACAAAACTTTTTCCCATAATTTGTTATTGAGTGAACGCGTACGATAGCGACGCTTCGCAATGCATTAATATTTTTAACTGTGCACTATATTTACATTGGCAATTTACTCACTTAGTTTGGACGACTGTTGATTTAAAACAGAATTAATATTGTCGAATTTTCTGTCTGTTTAAGATCTTGTCACTAAAACTAAAGCAACAAATAAGCTAATTCTATTGGTTATCTTAGTATAGGCAATGACATGATTTTTTCCATTCTCTTCCTTCAATCAAGTAATTACAAGTAATTTCATCACTATACAAAATCCATGACACATCACAGGTATAAACATACTTAAAACCAATGAAGCGAAGCAATAACGCACGTCATTCTAATAACATAAAATATCACACAAGGCCATTCCAATAATTTTAATCAATGTCGAATAAAATATCTCTTACTTTTCTTACATTACCGGCAGAAATTGTCTACCGAATTCTCGATCATCAGGATGATTTTACAATGATGTGCTCAATGCGAAATGTGTGTCAACGATTTAATGTAATCCTCGACACTTACCATCGATATCAGGTAAATCTTTTTTAAATCATAATTATCTATCTTTCTTCTATCTTGGACATGGTCTCATTTATCAAGCATTAATATACTCCAACAATTTAGATATAGCACCTAAGAAATATGAAAACATACATAAAAATAATCGACTAATCTCACTTCCTTTTTTACTCATTCACGTGCAATGTTTAGAAGAGAAAGGAAAGAAGAATATGGACTATTAATCACATATCTTTCGCGTTGAAAGGGACTTTTTGACAGAAACTGAAAGCTTCACAAAAATTTCAGCTGGAATAAATCAGTTACCTTCGATCTGATTGGTTTTGCGTTCAGAAGATATGTAACATAATATTACAGACTACTAGTTTTTATTTCATTCTCATCCTTCTTCACACAATTTAACCAACGTCTCCTTAAATAATATATTAACTCTTCATACCCACTTATCTATTCGATATACTCATCTCTGCTTTTTACACAGACTCTTACCACATTAAACCTCGTTAACACTCAAATCGGAGATGCTCAAGCATCGCATCTAGCACATGCATTACGAAATAATACAGTAGCTATCATTTTCTCTTTGATCTATCTCATATATTCATCCACACATTCTCATGCAGACACTGACAACATTAAATCTCTGCAGTAATGAAATCGGAGATGTTGCAGCCCAGCATCTAGCAGATGCATTACGAAATAATACGGTAACTCGCATTTTCTTTCTCATCTCTCTCATATATTCATGTGTACCTTTACATGCAGACACTCACCGAGTTAACTCTCGACAACAATAAAATCGGAGATATTGGAACACAGCATCTCGTAAATGGATTACGAAATAATACGGTAACTATCATTCTCTTTCTGACCTCTCACATATGTTCATCCGCACATTCTCATGCAGACACTGACCATATTAGATCTCCAGTGGAATCAAATCGGAGATGTTGGAGCCCAGCATCTAGCAGATGCATTACGAAATAATATAGTAATTCGCATTCTCTTTCTCATCTCTCTCATATATTCATCTGCACGTTTTTCATTCAGAAACTTACCGCATTATATCTATGGAACAATGAAATCAGAGATATTGGAGCACAGCATCTTGCAGAAGGATTACGAAATAATACCGTAACTATCATTCTTTTTCTGATGTCTCTTATATATTCATCTGCACGTTCTCATGCAGACACTGACAACATTCAATCTCTGCAGTAATGAAATCGGAGATATTGGAGCTCAGCA